AATCTTGAGAAATATGAAAATAACTTTTAATCACTATAACGCATTAAATCACATAATGTTAATTTATATATAATGCATAAATTCCGTAGGAAGCACAAGTTCAAGAGGACTACAAGTGGTTTGCTGCTGATTTGCGTTTGTACTCTTGCTGCATCTCGCTGCAGTGTCCAAAAATAGTTAGTCAGCATTGATGGATTCCAGTTGCCCTGATATCTTTTTTCCTTTATGGCATTGCCATGGTAAAACTGTTCACCATGTTCATCACTGACTACACCTAGATTTTCGGGGAAAAAGCCCAAGTGTGAATGCAGAAATTTAATCTTCAGTGACATGCTACACTTCATGGTCTTGTATGCTGTAATAAATTGTCAACCAGCTGAATGTAGTTTGTGCTATGTAGTTGCCAAGAAAATTCCCAATGACATCCTTGAATGCTTTCCAGGCGATTTTCTCCGGCCTTACTAATAATCTTCGAACAGCTTGTCATTGATGACATATCTGATCTGTGGACCAATGAAAATACCTTCCTTAATCTTGGTACCAGTTATTCTTGGAAACATCTGTCAAAAATAATGAAAACCTTACCCTTCTTTGTTTATCGATTTCACAACATTTTTCATCTGTCCGAGTTTTGCGGTAAATGGAGAAAAAAAATCTTTGTTGGGTCAACAAGTGTTTTATGTGCCACATTTTTCTGTCCTGGAACCATATTTCTTTAGGAGTGGCCATTTCTTTTTAAAGTAACGCAATGTTTTTTTTGCATGGCTGTCCTATTCGCTGACAAAACTGTACTTGATATACCGAAGCTGCATTCCAAGTAGCAGAGCCACTACTTTAACACTGTATGCATAATTAGTAGGCAAGTTGTAATTTTGAGGATTCATTTCATGATTAAACAACTACAGTGCTCTCGGTCAATCCAAAATGTTAATAAACCTCAAACCTGGATATTTAAGAAAGTAAACGTGAGGTTTTGGCTTTCTTAGGAGAATATCTATGTGCTTACAATTATTGGGCAACTATTAGTGTGCAGAATTATTATGCAACTAAATGGAAAACAAAGATTTTCCCATCTCACTTGTTTATTGTGTTAAAGTAAGAATATTAAACAACTCAAAATTCACAAATAAACATTTCTGACATTTTCAAAAACAAAATCAGTGACAAATATAGCCCCCCTACCTTTCACTAACAGTCATAAGCCTTCCATCCATGGAGTCTGTCAGTTTCTTCATCTCTTGACGATCAACTTTTTGTGCAACAGCAACCACGGCCTCCCAGACACTGTTCAGAGAGGTGTACTGTTTTCCTTCACCGTAAATATCCCGTTTAAGAAGGACCCGCAAGTTCTCAATAGGGTTTAGGCCAGGTGAGGAAGGGGGGACATGTCATTATCCTTTCATCTTTAAGGACTTTACTGGCTAGCCATGCAGTGGAGTACTTCGATGCATGCGATGGAGCATTGTCCTGCATAAATATTATGGTCTTCTTGGAAGATGCAGACTTTTTCTTCTACCACTGCTTGTGGTAGAAGAAATCTAAAAACTGGCAGTAGGTTTGGGAGTTGATTTTGAGTCATCTTCAACCCGAAAAGGTCCAATTAGGTCATCTTTAAAAATACCAGCCCACACCAGTACCCCACCTCCACCTTGCTGGCGTCTGAGTCAAAGTAGAGCTCTGTGCCTGTTACTGATCCAGCCACACGCCCATCCACCTGGTCCGTCAAGAGTCACTTTCATCTCATCAGTCCATAAAACCTTTGAAAAATCTGTCTTCAGATATTTCTTGGCCCAGTCTTGCCGTTTCAACTTATGTGTGGTGGTCGGGTTTCAGCCTTCCTTACCTTGGCCATGTCTCTGAGCACTAAACACCTTGTACTTCTGGGCACAGTTCTGGAATATGTCAGCACTGGAGGATAATGGTTTCCTGGTCGCTTCACGTTTGATTATTCTCAAATCTTTAGCAGTTAATTTGTGTCTTTCTCAACACGTTTCTTGCAACACTGTTGACTATTTGCAACAAAACGTTTGATGGTTCTGTGATCATGCCCCAATATCTTAGCAATTTCAAGAGTGTTGCATCCCTCTGAAATACATTTTTACAAATTTTTTACTTTTCAGAGTCAGTTAAATCTCTTTTTTGACCCATTTTGCCTGAGAAAAAGAAGCTACCTAATCATTATGCACACCTTGATATAGGGTGTTGATCTCCTAAGGCCACACCCTCCCTCATTACACAAATACACATCACCTGATATGCTTAATAAGCGTTCCAGTTTATACAGCTTGGAGTTAGGACAATATGCATAAAAATGGAGATTTGGTCAAAGTACTCACTTGCCTAATAATTGTGCTCACGGTGTAGGTATTCACAGATATTCCAGTTGTATTTTGTGTAATGGCTGTGCTTCCACAACAGTTCCATGTTTTCGTATGTTTCCTTCATGTGTGCAGCAGAGTCAACAGGTATTGAAAGGTGTACATTGACATTGTGTAACAAGACAGCCTCGAGGCTAAATATTGATGAATCAGTAAAGAGACACTATTGTAGTGGGTCATCCTCACATGCCAATGGCGTCAACAAACCGTCAAAGTCAGTACAGATAACAAGGTTCTTTACATAAACTTTTTCAATCATCTTGGTGGCTTTAAAAGACAGAAATTTGTATACCTGGTGACGGCAAACACTATCCTTGAACCCAGTAGCTCTGCTTTTGACAAACCTATGTCTCTGGTCATTTAATTGTGTTATACGATAATGCTTGCCAGACATACACGACTGAAAACCGGATCATTGTCACTGTGTGTGGTGCACTGCAGCATCTTCATCTGTTTCATAAAAGCTTAATTTATCTGGTGGCTTTGGTACTGGCAGACTGTCATCATGTGGCACTGGTCTCATGGCTAAAGGCAGAATGGAGTACTTAATTGATTTCTTATTTTTAGCGGAGAAATCGAAGGCATTAGTCAGACAGAAGTAACAGTCCATTAGGTGATCTTTCTGTTCTTGTTCATCATTTGGACAGCAAACGGCATTGACTTCCGAGTTCCTCTGAGCCAAGCTCTCAGACTGACAGCACATCTTGCACAACAAATGTGAGAAGCTCATGCCTTGTAATGATCACCAATCTTACAACTAAAGTAGAGTTCATACGCTTTCTTAACAAGTCTAGTCATGGTGCCTCTTTGGGACTTAAGTGCATATTCACCACATATCTGATGTCACCGACTGCACTACAACAATTACAACAGCAAGACTGTAACTGGGTTAGGCCTAATTGTTATGTTGCGAGCCGCCTTTAGCCCTTACACTAAGCCTAAGCATTCGCAGACATGCCCAACCTGTGCAAGTTCCACAAACCTTTTGCAACTATCCCTGTGTGTATGCCTGGACATGAATGAGCTTCACAAAGCATCATATAATGCAATCAAATATTAGTAAACTAAAAATGTGACAAGAAAATACAAAAATAAAAGATTTCAGAAAAATGGTATGTGTCAGATTAGCTTACACTTTATTTTTGTGATTACACTCAGAAGTACTCAAGAAGCAAAATCTTTGTTGTCAAGTGTTTTCTGTTATGCTATTAAATTTGTAAAAAAAATATAGAGACAAAACACAGGTGGTAATGGAGCCATTCTAAAATAGCAATAATAGGTGTAAATCATTGCCTAAAAAGTATATGGGCCCATTTAGACTCTTACATTACCACAATGCACATGTTCTTCTGTGGTGTGGAGCCATTCACTGTAAATATCACCTCAATGCACTATACAGTAGCAGCCAACAAACAATGTATGGCAGCACAGCCCAACACACATACCTTGCATTCTGGAACACTTCAATTAAAAAAAAAGTAGTGCATTTTTCTGTTTGTTGTGGTGCACTGGCAACCAATTTGAAATTTATAAATGACTAAAATATACACACATTGACCACTTTATTCGTTTTTCTAGGTTCGACTGTTGGCTAATATGAAAAGCAAATGACAATTCTGCCAATCAATAGAATGACATACATACATGCAGATTAATCCATCTCCCTTTACTTCCCGAAACTCTGGCACATTTGACTAGGACATGTTACCATGCACATCATCTCATGATATTACAGATTACATTATCCTGCAATGCTCTGCTGATGTAACCTTCCCGGAATGCAACACTTGGGCACATTACATCACTTTTGCATCATATCATTACATCACTTTTGCCAAAGAGAGACAGGAAGTAGGAAACAAGAAATTGTAAGTAAAATGAAAATGTTTGTTAAACTAATGACTAATTTCATTTCAGCATGCAGAGCTGTATGCTGATGTGATTTTTCCTTTTGCTTTTTAAATAATGGAAGGAAACCTATATTATTTAAAATTAATTAACCTTAGGTTTCCAGTCCTTAAAACAGCAATGCAACTGTCCCCATTCAAGTTAATGATCAGGTGACAGCAGCTGCATGTAAATGCCTGCACACCGCATGTAATGGTATGTGATATGATTACATGCAGATAGGAATTACTAACCCTGGATACACAATTGTGCATCCAGGGAGAGTGATTGTTTTTGTAACTGCATGTAATCGTATCACATATTACATGCTGTGTGCAGGTGTTTACATGCAGTGGCTGTCACCTGATCAAAGTCATGCAACCCTAACTATTTTTCAACACTTTTTTTTTTTACATGATCTGAAGAAATCTAGGTAAAGTTACACTACATGGTGGTATATTATGGGATTGGCATGTTTGTATGCTTAGCTTGGACACTATAGAACCTGAAGTCAATTGTATGATTCATATGCATTCGTTGTATGCGAGTATATATATCTCATATTCCACAGATGAAAACTCGTTTCACAACTCAAAATACTTTGCAGAGATAAATGAATGTATCCTACACGTCTAACCCTAAGCAGATGCTCTTCTGGTTGTATATACATTAACTTTATAGCACTTAAGAGCTACATAGAACATACAATGCAGCAATCAGAAAAGGAAATTTTACCCTTCTCCTCCAACTCGAGTAATTTTAAGCAGAAAGTCTACTGAATTCATGTTAGGAGGCTTCCATTTCAAAATGTCATCACAACGACCGGCTTTGTATTTCTAGAACAGAAGAAAGGCGAATACCATTAAAACGAAGTGCCATCTCCAATAGAAAATTCTAACACTGGATTGCTAGGTGTCTTTGTCCATTACAATGACAATACCAGCTCTAAAAGCTTCTGGATGGACATAACAGCTCTAGGAGTAGGTATAAAACACATTAGATTTAAAGCACATACAAAACTGTAAGGAAAATGTTAGAAAAAAAACCCCAAAACAATTAACTGTGGAGTAAAAATACAGAATAAGCTATCTCAAAACATTAGCGACCATGTCAAAAAATTACAATGTATACAGAGTAGAAAGTATCACGTTTTATTGACAGATAAACACTTTCTTAAAGTGCATGTCTAGCCAAAACATTTTAATTGCAGTTTTGGATTGAGTGGGGAAAGATTAGAACCTTTTGGCAATGGTTCCCTAGACTGGACGTGAGGGAAAATCTCAACAGGAACACAATACGAAGCTGAAAAGGGTTCTAGCTACTCTCTATGAAATAGGCAAAAGTAAAAAAAAAAACTATGTCCATGTTGAAGTTTTACCCTAGGCTCCTGCCTGGCAAAACTGTAGTCACTGTGATATGTGGGGAAGAGAACTTTGGATAGTATTAACAACCTGACAGGGGTTTTAATCCATCCCTGCTCCATATAAAACTAAAAAGAAAAATAGTTTTCGCTGGATAAACACTATAAAACATACGTTAAATACACATGTAAGACAAAATGTGTCCATTTTGTACCATGAACAAAAAACGAAAACTAATAGTTTGTGCTTGTTGGTATAACTCATCAAATAGAAGAACACTTTTGCAATTTAAAGTTTAATTTTAAAGTAAACTACAATGGATTTCGGTCAATTTATTTAGCTTTTTCTCCTAAGTTGAAAAGTTTTCAAACTGATGCTTTAGAGTTTGCTAGAGGGAGTAGAAAAAGCAGCCTGCCTTAAGAAAGGATTTTTCTAACTGAGACTTCAGAGTTAAGTAGGGTGTACACGATTATATATTTTTTTGTACAACCTGCAGGCTGAATGAAAAAAATATGACAGATTCCTCCAGCCACGCTGAACAGCGAGGATGGATGAATCTCCCGCAGTGATCTCGTATTCTGACAGCAGCACCGGCTGCTGTCAGAATATCCAAAAAGCACTGTTTGGCCGAGGAATTGTCCCTTCGGCAAAAGTCGATCTAATGATCCACTTCTGTCAAGGGGACAGGGACACCAACGGAGCAAATTTTGGCTGATTCCTGCTGAATCCGCTGAAATTCGCTCCTTGTGTCCCCATCTTTAGCTTTCCAATAAGGGTTGAGTCATTCACTTGTGTATGTAAATGTAACCTTGAGAAATTGAGGTCTGTAATCAACAGGCTTTTTGCAATAGGCAGTAAAGAGATAGAGGAAACCCTGTGAAATGGAGCCTAAAGCTCCACTTGCTGACTAAAAAATATTAACATGCAAGGGTTTGCCATTTACCTGCCACAATAATGTTTTAAATTTTGTTTAGTTCCTACCATAATAAAGAAAAAAAAGGAAATATGTTCAAACAACACTTTATATTACCCATTTTGACGTAACCATGCTAACAGATATCTGCACAATGATTATATGCCAATGCATGGTGTTCATGGAATGCCTTAAGAAGGAAAAATTTATTCATACTCTCAAACTGATGGAGTGAAAACTCATGGGGATAAAAAACTAAATTTTCTTTCAGGTTCTACATTGAAAAATTAAATTTTTTTGGTTAGCAGCCATCTTTGCATTCATTTTTTTTCTACAATGCATTTTAATCCAGAAAAGAAACATATGGTGGCTGTCTCTTAGCAATCATTCTGCATAATATAGGAACAGTAAACCAAAGCTTTGCAAGGCAGTACATATTTCCCATATTAACAGGAGCAGATGTTACATTTTGCATCTTAATACAGATCATCTAGTTCTAGATTAACAGATATTAGAATTCACAGGGTACATGCAAAGGAATTCTGAGTGCATGTTTTATAATACAATGTCTATCAAAGGGTCATACTAAAAATAAAATTGACAGAATATAAGAAACAGAAGAATATGATGGCATTAAACACAAATAACACCATCTATGAACTGAAATTAAGTGAATATTCATCTTTTATTCACTGGAAACAATACATGTCCTTTGTATAGAATTGTAATAAACTATAGGTTTCTTTACCCAATATTAGAACTTCAAGCTGAAGTTTAACCATTTAAAGTGGGGTTGGCTAAACTGGAATTGGCAGTGGTAAACCATGCAGAAGACAGGGAAAAGCACCTTAACGCCTTTTTAGTGTTAAGTCAGTATTCAGACTTTTCACACAGCAGCTGGCTCCCACAGCAGAGAGCTAGAGAGAGAGTCCTGAGCATCATTCAGCTCACATATATAAAGGCCTGTGGACAGAGGAAGACTAATAATGAGGTCTGGCTAGCAGGTAAGATGTGGACACAGGAATAGAGGCTTAATCCCACCCAAAGCCTCCAGGAACCAGGTCTCAAAATGAAACTTACGATTCTGAGATAACAAAAAATAAGACTTTTTGCTTAGATTAGATACCTTCGACCCCTCTAGTGCTATTGTGAATGTCAACCACTGGTGCATCCATAATGACCATGGACCAATCAAAAGGAAAATGTTCTGGTACAATTTAGGAGCTCAAAAAGACCCAGGGCTTATAGCAGCAGGCTAATCCTCCAAATGCAGAGTGATACAAACTGCAACAATAGGGTTTGAAGCAATCCCTTGTATATCCATGTCCACCACAGGAGACAAGGCGTGGTGACCCAAATTCAGCCTCTCCTGATTGCTGGGATACAAAATCTGAATGAGAAACAACAACAGGGGATAGCAGCCGCAAGTTCTAGATTACAGGTCAGCGATTCTGGGTAATTTCTCCCAGATCCATTAGAGGAGTATGAGTTGAGGTCACCTGTAGCAGCAGGAATGTCCTCTGTCTGTCTTTGAGAATACATGCTGCAGTGTGTGTTGGTCAGCAACTGGGTACAATGTGAAATAAGGCCTCAAGCATTAACAAACTGAGGCAGCTGGTGCTGATGGGGTTTTAAGCAGCCAGACATAACTGAGTCACTGTAGGTGGGCAGCAACAGAGAAAGGAACTGGAGACCAGGTGTTTCATTAGTAGCAGGAAAGAGTGCAAAACACATGTGCGCAGAACTCCACCTTGCAGATGATGTTAGCTCTCAATCCCTCAGACTTAACCCTTATTGCAGTAGGAAATTCAAAATGTGTTACTCAATAATACCAACTGTGAGGAAGCTCCCAGTGCTTCAGCCCAACCAGCTTTGATCACCAAGTGAACCTTCAAAAACAGGGTCACACCAGAGGCTGTGCCATGGTTCTGAGGCATAATGGTTAGAGGCGTGGTTATAAGTAAGCAGTGTGAAGGAGCGGGCTGTCCAATCCCATGGTACTGTGACCAATATGTGATGATACACAGTTCAGATCCTACCATGACATCATCACTACCACTCTCACCCTACACAGAGATTTTCCAGGTGCCACCACATCTTTTAATGGAAACACGCACCGTACCAGCAAATGCTGCGACAGTTCAAACTTACGCAATGCCTGTGATGCCCACTGTTCCTGCAGACAGGAATAGAAGGTTTTTACAATATGATAGCACTCTCCACAGAGACAAGGATACATTAAAGTTTTTATTTAGAGCATAGAGGTAAGCTTAACGATTTTAGAAGATCGTTTTTAGTAAAAGAAACGGTCCAGAAAAATATACAGAAAAAAGATGTTACAAAAAGAAAGACAAATAAAATAACAGTAAAATAAAAAGGAGAATAAGCATGAAAGTACTTAAAGTCTTCGGTTCGAGGAGGTCCAGCAGAGCCCAGACAATGAAACAGGAGATGGATGTGGACTGGGCTCTCTCAACTTAATTATTGGTGATCTGGCCTTACTTTGTGTTTTTTACTTTGTCTTTTAAGGTAGCCTGCCATAAAAGACCATTACACAGTAATACAAGAGGCCTGAATAAACACTATGTTGTTTTGGTCATTAAGGTGAAGACTCTCACAATCTTAAATAGAACACATATTTGATCTGATTATATTTTAAAAAAGCTGAGGGGACGATGGAATTTCCTATTTAGCATTGGGCTGCCCAGACCTCATCACCATCACAGGTGGGTCTTCAACTTCTGTTTGCCAGTGTTCAAACCTCTTGTAGCAGGCAGTATAACATGACTGTTTCAAAATTCTTGTCCCTATCAACAGAAGATAAAATAAAGTTTTGTTTTTTTTTCCCCAACTATAATTCTTGACAGGAAGAGTCAGGAATTATGGTTGAGAGATTTCACTGTTGTACCTATAATACCACCCCTTAATGTAATGCATTATTAAGTTAGAATCCCACAAGTAGGCCAGAGACATTTCAAAATATAACCATATTTGTTTTATGAGAGTTATAGATGAGTATGTCATATATACTACAAAAAGCATATAGCTAAAAATCAAAACCAGCCAAAACGTTTTGTTTAATGCTGTGTCCCCCTTCCCCCTTTATCCAAAACCAAAAAGTCCAGCTTAATAAACAGTAACAAACAATACTGACTAAAAATCATTCACAAGAACTACAACATATAAGTCACAGAATGACTTGCATAAAGGTGAGGAATATTTTACAAAACACAAATGGGGGGAATTAATCACCACTGGAGCAGACAAAATATGGAGCAGCTGTGCATGGCAACCAATCAGCATCTCTCTGCAGTTTGTTGAGTTAAGATTTGAAAAAGAGTGAAGCTGATTACTTGCAATGCACAGCTGCTCTAGATTTTGTCTGCTCCATTTCGACAAAAATTCCCTTCAATATGTTTTTGGCCAAGTAATCACAAAGAAAAATGTGTATCAGCTGTTCTTTTTAAGCCTCATTTAAAGCAGAACTCCAGTTTCAAATAAAGAAAACTATGGCCCAAGACATAAGAATAAAAAAGCAGCTTACGCTGCAATACTTTCCTGA